GTCACCTATAGTATGAGATAGAGGGCTGAAATTTTGTTTGGAAGTGGGACACTTAGGGACTACTACCCTGTAAAAAAATTGTCCAAATCGGCTGAAGAGAAAAAAGGTTATTCAAAAAATACAACTAAAATTCAATCGTACCAAAAAGTTGCAATTCACTTATATGTATATATATACATATACAGTGGTTTGCAAAAAGAGTTGGAACAACCTTGGAGCACAAACATTTTTAGTTTTCTAGATTCTGTTAAGATTTTGTTCTGCAACTATTATATATTTATACTGAGCAGACTATCCACCAAAACTTTTCTCATAGCCGATTGATTGTTGTTCTCTCGTTGCAGAATATCAGGCTGACAGAGTAAACCCAGGCAGTTGAAAACTATGTCATATTTCTCAATTATATTTTTGAAACACAGGAATGCATCCGATTAGGAAAGTTCGTCGATATACAAAGGTAATACTGTCTACAATCAATTATGACTTTTAAAAATTAAGAATTCAACACTCTATAGAAAAAACGAGTAGTCACAAGCCGAAAAAGTACGGTTGATCCCTGGTACAGCTGCATATCATGTCAACTCATGAAACCATATAATGAGGTGATATCAAGAGAATTGGTTGAGAAATAACGTACACAATATGGATTAATCATTTTCAAAATTACAATCTAACGCTATTTGAATTTTTTCAAGTATGAACATTGGAAAATGTTGTAATTAGTTTTAGTCATTGTAAAAAAAGATAAATGTGTCTTTGTTACCAAATGAAAGTAGAACGAATATAATTTTGAACTATAAATTCTAGGACTTTGAACGGCTGCCTACCAAATAAAAACAAAATTTTTTGGAAACAGTTGAACTAGCCTATAATACAGACTAAACATTTGTTCCAAGTCTTTTTGCAAACCACTGTAGCAACAGCAACAACAACAGCAGCAATAGAAAATTTCGAGTAAGTTATTCATATGAAATAGTTTTATTTTAGAAAATAGAATTATTTATTATTTTCTTTGTCAGAAAATCAGTGGAAAATGATTGATGAGAAGGTGAAATACCTATAGAAATTGAAAAATCATCTGAAGAAATCGAAGATAAATTAAAAGAAATGTAAATAAATGAAAATCTTCAATTAATAAAAAATGATGAAAATGAACCAGTTGAAAACAGACAAAAAAAACGAAATGATAATGAATTAAAAAATGGTTATGTTGAAATGTACAAATAAAAACCTTTTTTTTATCATGATGAAAATAAATTACAAACACTTTATTGGTGGACACAAATGTGCTTCGCGAATATAAATACACTTATGATTGAATATAAATCATCAAATGGTGGAATTATTGATCGTGTGGATGTATTTTTAATTGATGAATTTATATCAAAATTTCTTTCAGCATATGATCTTCGTCTTAAATATTGTATTTCATATCTTTATTCATTTTTACAATTAATTCAAAAAACTGTTCATATTGATGATTCAAATACAATACCATACCTTTGCTTATATACCTCAACCATTACATATTGATCCTATTACTGGAAAAATATTACAATATGATTTTACCAAATTGTGTTCCGTTTTGATATATACAAATAAAACGATCAAATCAAAGGCACTCAAATTTTATGCCTTTATGGCATCTAAAATATATTCAACGAAGTGTTTCTATTGGAGGTATTCTACAAGATGATCAACTTAAAACTGTTGAATAAGAATAAAAAAAAACACGTATTGGACATAGAAGAAGACCATCCTGTATTCTCAAAAAAGAACAACAAGAGAACCGTAAAAAGAAACATTAATGAAAAAGAAAAAACATTCTTTTGTTTTTTTTTTATTTAGCTAAGTTTAAATTCTAAATTTTCTATGGATGTTATATATTCTTTTAAGTGAATAAATAGAGGAATCACTAAAAAGATAAAATAAGAAGATTAAATTATCAAGAAAAAATTCCAATAAAATCGATGTATCACAATCCGACTAATTTAGATAAATGAATGATTGTTTCCATTGGACGTGTTACCGAAAAATCTTTCGTTCTTGCATCACTATAAATCTCATAATCATTGCTACCCTCGATATAACAACTCTCATTTTAGTTTTATTTAACCATCAGTTATTTTATTGTCAAATAATTCAATGCCGATTCATTCAAAATATTTGTTCGCACTATTTTTATATTTAAAGAGATGTCGTTCTTTCTCGATTCAAAATTGTCAATTTTAATTTTTGCGTTTTGTATATAAATATAGATTTTACAAAATTAGCACCAGCGATAGCACCTTGAGTGTATGGGTGTGGGCGTTAGTTTTGCTTGTGGGTGTGAGTTAGTCCCTTTTTTATTTTCAACGACAGACACACTCACACAGTCACACCCCACTCACACTCTACACCACACCCACACCCGA